AAAATTAGCTGCTTTACTTATATAATCCCAGTCAATTCAACTGCCTTCAGAGTTACTCTTCCTGTGCCTTCCACAGGACTTGGAGGTAGCAAAGTTGGTAGGAGGCCCTTCCAAGGGCTGGCATGCTGTGACTCTCCTGCTTCTGCACCACTTTCAAGTGGTTTGGGTGGTACCACTTGGACTCTGCATGTAAAGCATGACCTGGAATGCTAGAGGTGGGGAATGAGAAGAAAACACCCCTTCATATTCCTCCTTTTTGGGGATCTGTTGACATGGTCATGGTCAGAGCATGAAGAAAGCGGATGGCACTTACCGTGAGATGCTGAGGTAGCAAATCACAAAGTTGCCTTCAGCTGCAGCTCTTTATACCTTATCTCCTGCCCACACAGCACTCCAGAGCTCTATTTTTGGTCAATAATAATTTACTCTTTAGTTGTAAACGTGTTGTAGCTCTGATCTCTCTGCTAATTACTCAGGGACAGGATTGGTTTAAGGTTGTATGGAGTCAGCTGCACTGACCTGTCCTTTTCACATTGATCTGTGCCAGGATGGAGGAACCCAAAGACAGCTCTGATAAAGCCAAATAAGGCAACACTTGGCTCTGCACTGTAAGGGTTTGTCTTAGTCAGGAGGATGGGGTTTTTCTAATTATGCACATAAGGCAACATTTGGCTCTGCACTGCAAGGGTTTACCTTAGTCAGCAGGATGGGGTTTTTCTAATTGTGCGCACTTCCTTCTTTAAGGATATAATAATAACGGATGCCCTCCTATCCTCCCTGTTTATCTACACATGCTGCTAGATAAGAAGAAAGATTTATTGAGGGAAATTTTTTATACCATTCTCTTGGGTGCTGGTAAGCCTGAAGCTAGCCTCAGTTTTGGGACAGAGTGAGACATCTGCCAGCTAATGGACCACAAGAGAGACTTGCATTCCTGACCCGTGGTTTGCAAGGCGTGCTCAAGGTCAGCTGCAGAAAGGTGCCTGATTTTTGTGCCACTCCACTATCCTGCAGAGGTTGTCATGGAGCAGGCTGGATGTCAAACCACAATGACTGTAAGTTGCTCTGTAAGGGAAGGTGGAAGGGGATTGTCTGTCTGCTTCTTTCAGATTAGCTGTTTAAGTGTGGCATTCACATTCCCTGGAAAAATCCCTTCGCCCAGGATTTTTCCCCTGGGAAGCTGAGACGCCTCAGAAAAAGGAAAACAATTCTTATCTCATTTGCTTCACCTTTGTTGTGCTCATGTGGAATGTGTTTGGAGATTGTTTACCCACAGGTAAAATGATTGTTTCATTGGGTTCTGCTGTGAGTTGTTTTGGTTCTCTGGCCAATCAGGGCCAAGCTGTGCTGGGGCTCTGGAAAGAGTAATGAATTTTCATTATTAGCTTTTTAGTATTCTGTAAGTATCCCTTCTATATTCTTTAGTATAATATAGTATAGTATTCTTTAATATGATATATTATTATAAAGTAATAAATTAGCCTTCTGAGAACAGGGAGTCAGATTCATCATTCCTCCCTGCCACGAGGGTCCCTGCAAATACAATAGTTTAAGGACTGATTTTGACATTGCAAGGGGCAGTAAGAAAGGGAGGAATAATTGAGAACATGCTGGGACAAAACCCTGACTGACAAATGGTAAGGGAGGAGGTGGTGTGAACAAAACCTGGTCAGCCACGCTGCCTGGTGAAGGCATTTAAAAATGCAAAAAGTAGCATTCTTGAAGGTCTCTCACATCTTCGGAAAATACTCTTACCAAAAGATAATTTTGTACAGGAGATGCAGTTGCAAAGCAGATTTGTCATTACCTCATTTTTCTTTATTTTAAGGCAGAAGAAACTTTCATCAGAACATTATTTAAACTTTAGAGGCCGTGAAATCTAACCACCTCTTTGTGGAATGACCCAGCTTCTTCTATGGGAAGAGATGGATTGTCAGATGGATTGTTGTCATTGCTTCACATTGGCTCAGTCTGGGGAACATCCTTAGTGCATTTACACAGCTCTCCTTGGCTGTTTGTTTTGGATTATCTTCAGGGTGCCCATGATTTAGTTACACTAGGAACAAAAGGCATCTGTATTGCATTCTGCAATAAAAAATGGATTCCTGCAGTGTTGAGGGGAATCCTACTTAGGCCTTTTCTCTTGGTTTTTAAGTCCTTTCTAGAATGTCTTTCAGTGTTTTTATTACCTTTTTTTTTTTTTTATGAGTCTTTTCCAGCTGTGTGAGCTGAAGTGTGAGCACAGATGCTCTCAGAAATGGCAATGACATCACGCAGATGTGGAGATAATATTATTATTGTATTTTTCTTCTGCTAATTGCTGTGTATCAAACATTTAAATCAGCTTTTAAATTTGGTTGCAACAGCAGAGTTGTAGGAGCTTTTTACATTTTAACAGTCTCAAGACCTGGTTTGGGTCCCCCACATTACAGCAATTTATCTGGTGAGGGAAGGACCACACATTTATTGTGTGAGTCTTTAAACAGGTGTTGTACCAGCAGATTCATCTGCATGGTTCCTGTAAATTGTAATTCCTGGAATTCTATAAATTCTCCTATTTGCTAATGTTGGTCAATCACAAGCATCTTCAGGAGTTCTCATAATTCTGGCTTTGTCAAACTGTGTGCTCCATAAATGTCAGCCTGTCTTGGGAGCTGGAAGGTTGGACAGCCTGCCAAGCACAACCTGACAGATTTGTTCATTTGGTTATCTGAGGAATTCTTTGCTCCTTGTGGATGGCAGAGTGTTTGTTTTCTGGCCTGTTCCAGCACTAAATAGCTTTGATCCTATGACAGTTACCCAGCAGCTTTTCCAATGGGTGCCCATGAAGAGATAATTTTCCCAGTACCAGTGGCCAGGGAAGCAAGGCTTCCATACCAGGTGCCCAAACCACTGACAGATAAGCTGCTGTATCTGCAGCTGTCTGATACTTTGAGGACAGATGGACATTTTGGTCCAAACCAGTACAGCTATTCTCACATTTCATCCCCAACCCCCTTTCCCTGGGCCTTCAGGCACATATGTATTTGTTCCTGATACCACCACCTTTCAGACCTTTTATCACTTCATCTTAATGGGTTATTGTGTTGCTTTTGCTACAACACACCAGGTAGACTGAAAGGGGAAGAGGGCCAACTATCTTCTTGTTGTCCCACATCAATTCAAAAAGCTTTTGAAAATGAAAATTCAGTTACAGAGCAGAGGGTACTTACCCAAGGTTTCCCTAAAAGCATGGAGATGTCACACCTGGGTTATTGGCTGTAGTGTGTGAGCTCTTACTAAAGCTGCCTTGCTTTTGGAGATCTGGAAGTTGTCTAGTAAAATTTTGATTTTTTCAAAGTGTTTTCCACTGGGAATGGTGGCCTAGCAGACCTAGTGCCAATACTAGGAAAAAGTAGAAGCTAATAATGATTAAAATTTGAGGACATGGTGATAAATAAACATATTGAGTACAACAGCATTTGTAAAGGGAAGAAGCATTCCACAAACCTAGAGGAGAATCAAAGATATGTGGATAGGTGGGAGAACCAGATGGTACTCTCTTAATGAATATCTGTAAGCCATGTGAGACGATATAGCTAAGTCTGTGTCTGTGATGTTATTTAAGATAATTTTCAGAGGTGATCCTGGACAAGGACAGGCTGATAATCCTGCTGCAGAAATGTAAGTCTCCCTGGGGATGGTGTCAGAGTGTCCAAAGTGGCTTGATCTGAAGCAAATCCCAGGAGCAGCTTGGGGGAAGCTCAGTCCAGCAGCTCTATTTATGAACATATTCCATTAGGGCCTTCCTGGGAAGCTCTTTGTCCTTGATGAACCTGACAGCCCTACTCAGTAAAGTCCCCTATACCCTTCTGTCCTTCTGCACAGAGCCTGCTAGCAGGTTATGAAACAGCCCTGGTAGGGATTACCAGGGCATCAGGAGGGCCTTGCGTGCTGCTAAGGACTCCTCTGCTTTTTGTAAAACATATCCTGTGTCTGGGACATCAACACTGTGCTTTGCTCGAGCTGTTTCAAAGCAGGTAGTAAATGCAGTGTGGAGGAGTGAACCTCTGTCACAGCAAGGCTGCTTCTCCCCGTTGCCTTCTGACTGCCCACCTTTCTCCTGCAGTCCTGCCAGCAGCCAGGTGCACAGCTGGGTCACTGGGCATGTATAAATACATATATATGTCTTTGTGTGTGTATATACACACACACGTAGGCATTAACTGCCTTCCCAGGCACATCTGCAGGCTGGGTGAGGAGAGAACCAACAGCAGCCCTGAGGAGAAGGACTTGGGAGTATTGGTTGAAAACAAGCCCAACATGGCTTTGTGTACTGCAGCCCAGAAACTCCCTCTGTGCTGGGCTGAGCACCCAGTGGAGGCAGCTGGTCAAGGTGGGGATTCTGCCCCTCTGCCTGCTCAGGTCAGACCCCACCTGGGGCCCTGGGGAGCAGCACAGGGAGGAGCTGGAGCTGCTGGAGAGAGCCCAGAGGAGGCCATGGAGATGCTCCAAGGGCTGGAACCAGGCTGGGAGAGCTGGGGATGCTCACCTGGAGAAGGGAATGCTCCAGGGAGAGCTGAGAGCCCCTTCCAGGGCCTAAAGGGGCTCCAGGAAAGCTGGAGAGGGACTGGGGACAAGGGATGGAGGAACAGGACAAAGGGCAGTGGCTTGCCACTGAAAGAGGATAGGTTTAGATGGGATATTAGGAAGCTCCTGTGAGGTTGGTGAGGCCCTGGCACAGGTTGCCCAAAGAAGCTGTGGGTGTCCCATCCCTGGAAGTGTTCAAGGCCAGGTCGGATGAGTCTGGAGCAACCTGGTCCAGTGGAAGTTGTCCCTGATGGTACAACCCATCCCAGGAGATGAGGGTAAGCCAGGCTCTTGTTAACAGAGATAGGAGGAAGCATAAAACAGGTTTTAAAACAATTCCACTCTAAAACTGCTAGGTGAAAAAATGAAAAAAAGAAAGTGAAACGAAGCAGGGACCTACTACCACAATGTTGACTTGTGTTCAAACAGAGCTACACAGAGAAAAATATCAACACAGAATCCCACTTCCACCTGGATAAAGAATGACCGAACATCGTGATACTCACAGCCTCCTCAGCTTGTCTCTTGTAAGCTTTCACCTTAGTTTGCAGTTTATCCACTAGATCCTGCAGCCTGAGAACATTTTTCCTGTCTTCCTCAGACTAAAGAGAATGACAAGACAGAGAAGCATATCTTTTATCCTCCTCTACATGAAATAGAGAGTAACATTTCTATTTGACATTCCTGCCCAGTAAGACAGAAGTGATGAGCTATATATTGTTAAAATTAGTAGAAGATAGTAATCTTCTGCTGCTTTCATTATTCCCCTTTTTGTATGTGTGACTCAGGACAGAGAGAAATTCCTCAGGGCTATAAATTGGGTTCCAGGAATAGGAGTGTATCAACACGAAGAAGATTCCTGCCTTACCTGGTAGGTGAGTTCCTTCACCCTCCGCTCGTACTTGCGCACACCCTTCACGGCTTCAGCGCTGCGCTTCTGCTCAGCATCAACCTCCCCTTCCAGCTCCCGCACCTGCAAGGACAAGCCCATCCCTGCAGCTTCCCTGCCAGTGTCACTCCAAGGAGAGACACGCTCACTCAGGCACAGCCCCAGCCCTACACACCCTGGCCTCCAGCTTCTGGATCTGCTTCTTCCCTCCCTTCAGTGCCAGCTGCTCAGCCTCTTCCAGACGGTGCTGCAGGTCCTTCACAGTCTGGTCCAGGTTCTTCTTCATCCTCTCCAGGTGGGCACTGGTGTCCTGCTCCTTCTTCAGCTCCTCTGCCATCATGGCCGCCTGATCAAAGCAAAGGGTCAAAGCCATTTTGGAGCTGGAGATATTTTGGGGGGACTACATTCACCTTCAGCAATGCCAGGAGTGTCCAACTCACATCTGTGATGGCCTTCTTGGCCTTCTCCTCAGCATTGCGGGCTTCCTGGATGGTATCCTCCATTTCACCCTGGATCTGGGCAATGTCCGTTTCCAGCTTCTTCTTGGTGTTGATCAGGCTGGTGTTCTGTTGAGCAGCATCAGAGGTTTGTTTTTGTAAGTTCATTATTTGAAATCAAGAACATTACAGAATTTTCAATAATTTAAGGCATAATTATGTGAAAAAGCAATACGAGAGACTTTTCTAGTAAAATTTCTTTTCACTGGGGAAAAAAAAATTTGTTTTTTCTTTCTCCATTTTTCATTAATTTGAAAAAGTGCTCAAGAAATATAATCTGTGCCACATCTCATCCACCAAGGCTGGCACAGGAAATTAACAAAAATAGAGTAAGGGAAAAGTCACCAGTGCACATATTTTTTTCAGCAAACATCTCTTTTAGTAACATGATGAATATTGCAGAAAAGAGTACTGTCTTCCCCTAAGTTGAGCATTCAATGGTGACTGGAAAAAAGCATAAAAGTGTTCACCAAATGACCTCACCTGGCTGTGGAGGAGTTGCACACGCTCACTGGCATCCATCAATTCCTGCTCAGCCACTTTCCTCGACCGCTCCGTCTGCTCCAGAGCTGCCCGGAGCTCCTCAACTTCAGCCTGCAGCAGGTTTGCTCTGCGCTCCACCATGGCCACCTGCTCCTTCAGGTCCTCCTGAGACCTGAGAGCATCATCCAAGTGTATCTGGGTATCCTGTAGAGCCATTGAAATAAATTATAAGCAGATTTAGAGCTCCTGTGGACTGAAAGTATTAACCAAGATATTGCTCGGTAGGCAATTTTTGTTCAACAGACCTTGAGCACTCCCTGTGTATTTCTCAGATTCTTCTGTGCCTCTGCAGCCTGGCGGTTGGCATGGCTCAGCTGGATTTCTATTTCATTCAGATCTCCCTCCATCTTCTTCTTCAGCCTCAGGGCTTCATTCCTGCTCCTGATCTCAGCATCCAGGGTGCTCTGCATGGACTCCACCACTCGCAGGTGGTTTCTCTTCATTTGTTCAATCTCCTCATCTTTCTCTGCTATCTTCCTGTCAATCTCAGCCTTTACCTGGTTGAGCTCAAGCTGCAGGCGCAGGATCTTCCCCTCCTCATGTTCCAGGGAGGCCTGGACAAGAAAAAATAAGAATACTTTTCCTGTCATAAGTGTTGAACCTGAAGTTCTGAGTAAAAATAGTGATATATTTAGATAATATCTCTACTTCTATAAGACCTCTTCTCTGCTTTTTTCTTGGAATGAGATAAGCAAGATAGAGATCCAAGACACATAAGACAGCACGAAATAATGCTGTGTACCTCAGCTTCCTCCAGAGCAGCCTGGATTTCAGATTTCTCCTGCTCAATCTGCTTCTTCACTTTCTCCAGCTCATGAATTGCCTTTCCTCAGGATTAGCAGTGTGGCAATGAGTGGAAATATCCTGGGAGATCTCCTGAACAGAATGCTGATGGGCACTGATTCTGCTGTGAGTAATGGCAAGCTCCTGAATGAAAATGCAAAGTCCAGGAGTCTGCAAAACAATTAAGATATAGACTGCAGGGAAGGAGGAACAAATCTAGTATGACAAGGCTTACACTGTATTACTTAAGTGTTTTTTTCCCTCCCTTTCATCTTGTTAATTATGTAATTTCATTCATATCTAAAGCTTCTTCTAGACAGAATGAGTCCAACAGACAACTCAGAATTTGGAGAGCCTTCTTACCTTTATCTCTTCCTCTAGATGCCTTTTGAGTTCCTCAATCTGTTGGGTGAAAGCCTGTTTGCCTCTTGACAGCTGAGAAATCAGAGCATCTTTCTCATCTACCTGGCGTGAAAATTCACCTGGGAGTGTTCAGATGAGTAAAAAAAACTTGTTATCACTTACGCAAAAGTATTAGTCTTGATAATAAATGCCCATATACATATATTTTGAGTTAAACAAACTTTTACTTCTTTCCTGGATTCCTAATCACTTATACTTGCATTTTTAGAGGCTAGAAATGACATGTCATGTAAAATCCCACCAGCCTTACTCTACATTTACATTAAGCCTTAGGTTTACAGAATTAGTACTACAATGCAATCCAGAGGGATTATGGCCCATGGGAATCTCAAGAGGTTTAACAAGGCCAAGCAATCCAGGCAAGGTCTTTTGTGATGAGCAGGGGGAATGATCACTCTCCGCAAACCCGTTAGCAATGCTTCTCCTAATGCAACTTGAGATTCTCTCAGGATTCTGTTGGCCAGCTTCATCATGAAACACATTTTTGGCTCAGGTTCAACTTAGATAATGTCCAATCCTCCAATACTCCAGCTGAGTTTTACTTTTTCCTTTTAAAGAACCCGGGTAATATACAGTATTCTCTTAAAAACACAAATGACTCACCGGATTCTGTTTGTAGCCGAGCTCTTTGAGCACTAATGTCATTAATTATACGCTGCTGTTCCTCCTCCTTTGTCTTAATCTCACTAGTAGCAAGCACAGACAGAAAATGGTTCTTAAAACTTTATAACAAGACAAGTCTTTTCCAGAGTGCCAGTGATAGGTTCTACCTTATACCTTGTTTTCAGTGGCATGTTTTTCCTTCTCCACCTTGGCCAGTGTTAGCTCAAGGTCATCAATATCTTTCTTCAGCTCTGAACATTCATCCTCCAATTTCCTCTTCTTGGCTGTCAGTTCAGCATTCATCTCTTCTTCTTCTTCTGCTCTCTCTGTCAGCTCCTTAATTTTGGCTTCCAGCTGGATTTTGTTTTTGATGAGTTGGTCACACCTTTCCTCAGCATCAGCCAAACCGTCAGCTTCCTACATGATTCATTTAAATGAAAGAGTTTTCAACCTGGGCTACTGGCTCTTTTAGGCTGTAGGCATCTAAATGCCATAGGACTAATCCAAATACTTGCTTGTAAATGCAGTTTTAGGGACATTATTGTTGGTACATTCTTATTTCCAGGGAAGAAGGGAAGCAGTGAAATTTCATTACCATTTTTCTTGAAGAGACAAGGACCATAAATGCCAGACAACTACCTGACACTCTCAGCTCTTCCTACTCCATCTGAATTCACTTGGGATTCTCCAAACAAAATATGTTAATTGGACCTCCAGACAATCTTGATTGGTCAGTTGTTAACATATCAAAATTGTAAAGTATACAAAATTCTATAAATATTAAGATAGCAATTGTATGTGGTTTTTCTTCTCATTTTATAAAATATGTGTATGTTTATAAAATAATTTTCATTTGGGGATAATACCTCTTTACTGAGACATTTAGGATGATTTAATAGAGGACATCACAAGTCAAAAAATTTTATCAATACTCACAGCTTGCACTTGGAGCTGCAGGTCATTTTTCTCCTGCACCAAGGCCACCATTTTCTCCTCAAGCTCCTTCCGCTTTGCCTCAGACTTTGCAAGCTCTTCCTTGGTTTTCTCAAACTCTTGTTTCATGTTGGCCATCTCCTTCTCAGACTCTGCACTCTTCAGCAAGGGCTTGATCTTGAAGAACAGCTTCATCCATGGCCAGTGCTTGACATTCATGAATGCACGGACATTGTACTGGATGCAGAAGATAGACTCCCTGAAAGGTAATAACAAAATGTATTTTGGAACATATTTAAAAATCTATAGAACATATTTGGCAGTATATGTTAATATATATAACATGAACATAATACCATAACATCAACACATAATACTTCTTAGCTGTGTGTATATATATATGTATATAGTATCCATATTTGGTATATTTGTACACCTACATAGTTCTGTATATCTCTATGTGTAAAATATTTATCATTTATTATTCAATATACATTTCTTAATATTATTTAGATCATGTTTTATATATAATATATATATATTTCCACCGAAAACCTTCTAGTGTTATATAGAGTATCAACCCATATAGACAGGTTTTTAGTTCAGGTGTTTGGCTCATTTTTATCACCAATGAAAAGGAACACTTCTATAAGTAGACTCAGTCACTTTTATGAATTTTCTCAAAGGGAAGAAGATGTTTCTCTTATGATAGATATATGTCTTTCTCTCATTTTATTTAGCAGTGACCTAAAATAATTATCTTAGACTTGATATCAGGTTTCTCGACATACATATAATATAGCCATTTAATGACTTCAGCAGCAAAGTATTAAAAAAATTGTTTCCCTAAATTGGGATTTTACACTACTTCATCTGTTTTCAGGATATGCTTTCATATTGACAAACTGAATTAATGAGAAATAAATCAGATTTTTTCTTGAAGCAGCTTATTTTCAGTTTTGTTCATGCCGTTACTATCTGATAAGGATTGGTCCAGCAAGCCAAGTAAATATCTACCTCCTCTCCATCATTTTCTTGAACTCCACCCTCATCAGGTAGCCCCTACACATGGCCTGGGTGCGGGTGATGAGCTGTGCCAGCTTCTCATCCCTCATCTCCTCCAGGATCCCTATCAGCCCAGCTTTGAAGAACACCTTGAGAGAGGCAATGTTGCAGCACATCACTGTCAGGTAGAGAGAGCAAAGCCCAGGCAGGCAGTGAAGGGGGGGGTGGTACCTTGGTGTGTCCAAATTTGTACTGGGTGTGGTCCACATCAATTGACCCAAGGAGCTTCTCAGAAGCCTTCTTGCTATCGATGAACTGTCCCTCAGGGATGGCACTGGCATTAAGCACCTTGTATCTGGAATCAGAGGAAGATAAGGAATAAATAACAGCCCTTTGAAAATGTCTTTTTTTTTTTTTTTTTCCTCTCAATAGCTATAGAAAGAACCTGGATGACTCACTTGGACAAATTACTTTTGTATACCTAAAGGTAACTTCTGCAGTACTTAAAACAATTAGGAAATGCAAATGATTCAACATTTGTGTATATGGTGGATGGTGATGAAATGAAATCTGACCTCTGTTTGAAGTCAGCATAGAGGATTCTGCTGGGGAACCCTTTCCTGCAGATCCTGATCCCTTCCAGCACGCCGTTACAGCGCAGCTGGTGCAGCACCAGCTCGTGCTCCATGGCACCTAATAAATCACAGAACGAAATTGTATATCACTTTACTGCACAGAGAAGATCAGCTATATCACACCCCTGAACTTTAACAACTTACCAGGTGTTTTTGTTTCATTAGGAATAAGGCACCGCACAAAATGGGGATGTGTGCTTCTCAAATTGCTCATCAGCTTGTTTAAATTTTCCTGAGGAGCAAGAACAAAGCCTTGGGTTTAAAAGTGTCGTATACACAATCTCAATGCTAGGTGAAGATAAAAACACTGCAATAAAACCATGATCAATAATTTTTTGACAGAACTTTCAGGCAGTTCTGAAAGAATACTTCCCGAGTTTCAGTAATAATTCTTCTTTACTAGAAGCAAATTATTTTAACCGTTATGAACACAAAGGTATAATAGAGCAATCTAACATATTTCTGAACTGAATTTTCTGTTTTTCTTTTCATAATGTGGTAATTTTAGAATAGTTATTCTACAGTACCCGGAAGAGAGCCGAGACAGTCTGGAAAGAAGAACCCTTCTTCTTGGCGCCCTTCTTGCCACCTCCACCACTGCTCTCTAAAAAGTAATAAATTTTTATAAAGAAGTGAACAACAAAAGCACACAGAATCTGAAAAACTTTATATGTTCATCTTAAAAACTCTAGCAAAAATAATAATGTGATCAAATTTTGCAAAGTCAGATTGTGGTTAAAGTTACAAAAAGAGACTTGAATTTTTCAGATGACAGTAGAAGGAAATCTAGTGACTTCAAGCTGAAATTTAGAAAATGCAGTAGGGAAAAAGACCATAACATTTTGCATAGAAAGATATTTGAGGAACTAAACTAATAGCTAGTAATTACACCAAATGCAGTGTTTATGTATCCTTACATCTAAGGTTATGCATAAATATAAAAGCATGTTGATACATTTGATTGTACTCACTGAAGTATTTGAGAATGGCCCATATTGCAGACAGCTAGACTGGGTTAATGCTCTAGTACAGCTGTCTCATTCTAAAACCTACAGCTCTATTAAGGTCTCTAGGGAGTAGTAATATCCTTTATTAGACTGAGATCCAAAGAGTAGATAAGGTTTTGGGTTTTCAATTTTAGAAATGTAAATATCATTGCAAAATATTATTACAGTATTTTAATTTCTTTTTCTGTGAATTATAGTAGAATTTATTTCAAAGAAATCACCTGCTTCTGCCCCACCAGCAGATGCAAAGAGCAAGGCCAGGGTCTTCAAGGATGACTTTTGATACAACCCCACAACAGTTTCATTCAGAGGGTCCTTGTTCTTCTCCAGCCACCCAGTGATGTTGTAGTCCACTGTGCCAGCATAGTGCACCAGGGAGAAGTGGGCCTCAGCCTTGCCTTTGCCAGGCTTGGGCTTCTGGAAGTTGTTGGACTTGCCCAGGTGCTGGTCATAGAGCTTGTTCTTGAAAGAGGTGTCAGTTGCCTTGGGGAACATGCACTCCTCTTCCAGGATGGAGAAGATGCCCATGGGCTGGGAAAAATAGCAACACGTGAAGAAAGTGTGGAAGGAAGAAACAGAGGCAATGTATGTAAGAAAGAGGAATAGAAGATAAAAGTTATACAAAAAAATCCTCCTCAGTATGTGTAATCTTATGTTTCTCAGAAAGGGCATTTTGTTAGTGGATATGCCATCAGTTATACGAAAACAAGCTCCCCTATAAGATTCAGAGTTGGGATGTAATAAAGATCTAGCATGTAGAAATTAATTTTGTACATGTTTGATGAAAGTGGTAAGCAAAATGAAGGAAAGTAGTAGCATTCAGACATAAGGAAGAGTTTAATCTATATGCTCTTTCTTTAAAACGAGACAGAAAATTTCTCAAGAAACCTTAAAATAGAGATTTTATAACTGAAAAACTGTGAAGTATGTGGGGTCTAATAACCTTCTCAATGAGCTCAATGCAGGCAGCCAGGTCCATGCCAAAGTCAATGAACTCCCATTCAATCCCCTCCTTCTTGTACTCCTCCTGCTCCAGCACGAACATGTGGTGGTTGAAGAACTGTTGCAGTTTCTCATTGGTGAAGTTGATGCACAGCTGCTCCAGGCTGTTGAACTGCAGAAGACAAAGATTTACTTGTGAATTTCAGTCCCAGGAACAACTTCCATCTTCCAATAGGCTGTATTCTTATCCCACTAAGATCTCTATGACCGGAATCTTGAATTTCTAGTGCTGGAACTGGATAGGTGACTGGCATATTCCATTCTCTAATATATCTAACCTCACAGGCCCTGGCATTTTCTCAACATATATGTGAGCTTTGAATAGATCTGCAGAGCTCAGTCCAAGTCCAGCTTTTCGTTTGAATTTGTGTACATTACCTCTCTATTCCCAAGCATTCAGAGGAAATCTGGCTTCATCATTAACAAAATCTTCTTTTAAAAAGGCATATTTTACCTTCCTTGAAGCCTCTCTCTGCTATTATTTATCAGTTTTTCAGCAGTTTTCAATGCTATTTTCACTTTTGCATGCAACAAACATCTACAAATAAATACAGCCCTGTGGGGTACTACATACAATGAGAACCAGAAGGGTACCGTTCCTAGAGAAAAAGCAGGATTATCCAACAAATAGAAATAACCCATAACTGAAACAAAGCACACCCCAACCCCCAAATTATTCCAACTTCCTAATGCCTCTTCCAGGAAAGCTTTATGGAGATCATCCTCTTACATCAAAGATCTCAAAGCCAGCAATGTCCAGCACACCAATGAAGTACTGCCTGGGCTGCTTCGTGTCCAGCTGTTGGTTGATGCGAACAACCATCCACAGGAACATCTTCTCAAACACAGATTTAGCCAGGGCACCCACTGAGTTGTATACCTAAGAAAAGGTTAAAGGAAAGCTACCATCTGCAGCAGGAGTTCAAAATTTTTAATTTTTTTTTCTCTATTTTCACTTGTTTCTTACCTGCTGCACAGTTTGGCCCTTGGTGACGTATTCATTCCCCACCTTGACTCGGGGGTAGCAGAGGGCCTTGAGCAGGTCTGCTGAGTTCAGACCCATCAGGTAGGCAGCCTTGTCAGCAACTAAGGAAACAAGCATAGAGCAGGATCAGATATTAGCTCTCCAGTGAAAGGGTCTTGCAGTAATTCAGATTTCTACAGAAGCCTTATATACGTTACCATGTCCTTTAAAATATTGTAGTTTTTCTTGACTTGCTAATTTTTTCTGATTTAATCTATATGATTAATAAAGGTAAATATTATTCCAATACTTTTACAGTGAACATGAAGGAGACTAGACAGACAAAAGGACCAAGGGACATGAAAATTGCAGAGTCACAATTTCTGAATAAACAGAATAGGAAAGTTGGTATTCAAGTACACTGCACTGAAAATTGTAGTCAGCGAAACTCTCCTGTCATTGGAGAGACAGAGGTAGATTAGCGAGGTATAAAGCCAAAAGTATGAATAGGATATCCTGTACAATGTTCATAGTCGGACTATATTGTCCCTAAGGATAAATATCAAATACATTAAGGCTTTCCTAGCTCCCATTTTATCTGCAGCTAGGTTAACAAATACAAGCACCACAGCACAGCATATACTCTGTCATCACTTTCCAATTTGCTGCCTGTCTTGTCCCACAGTGAAGCTGATAGCAAACACCAGTACTATTTAGAGAGTTCTTCAATGTGAGAAGGCCAAACCTCATTAAATAAGATTTATACACAGATGCTAATCTTGAGCTGCTTTTATGAGTTATTTCCAACAAGACATTAAAGGCACATTCATAACGAGCAAGATGAAAAAAGAAAATTTCAGTTTTCTAGATATATATGTATGTAAATGCATACCGTGGTTGTATCTAGGCTGCTCTGCTATATTATCTGCTCTGAATAATTATATAATTATTCATTAGTACTTGAGAGCTGTTCCTGGCTCTGTGTCAAGTTTGGGAAGCTTCCATTCAAGATAGCAGCAAAGTTTGCTATACTTTTTCCTGACTCCTACTCTGACAGAAGCCAGAATCATGCTTTAGGAGTCACTAGACTTAATTTTTTGCTTTGTTCAAAATAATCTCCAGGTTCCGCTTAGTTATGTTCCTCCAGAGAAGTCCTCTGGCTAGGACCCACTGCTATCCTACAATATTGGCACTGATTAGCTAAGCCAATCATTCTGACCCTCACATGCTGCCTTCAGCTCAGTGAGTGCTCACTATCTCCCGTGCTCTGGGATGGGTTGTGCTGGTACCTTCAGTGCCATCAGGCTCTGCCTGCTCCTCTCGTTGTTTCTGCTTGAACTTCAGGTTCCTCTCCCCCTTCAGTCTTGACAGTGATTTTTCCTGGTTCCCTGCTCTGGATTGTACTCTTCACATAGGACTCCTTTGCATGTACCACAAAGACAGATGACTTGGCATCAAAAGGTTTGTTCTGGGCCTCAATTCTCTCCTTCTCTGACTTTCGGAGGTAAGGAGCTGCCTCCCCAAAAATGGCCATCTCAGCGTCCGTGGACATGGCTGCTGCTTACTCCAAGTAATGCAGCAAGTGTCTGTGAGGATAGAGAATATATTAAAATAGTGTGTGATGGAACAAACACTTCTATAGCATATGTGATTGCTCTTCTTTAGGTATCAACTAAATTGCCTTTTCTTTTTCTGCTAATTCAGAGTTCTCTTCTACAATTTTTTTTCTATTACTATTATATTTTTTGTGTGGTCAGATTGTTATTCCTCCTGGACAATTGCATTTACAGAAGAGCTCTTTCTTTTTGTGTTTGGGGCCCCAGCAGAGGAAGGACATGGAGCTGTTGGAGTGAATCCTGTGGAGGTCATGGAGATGCTCCAAGGGGTAAAGCCCCTGTGCTCTGGAAATAGGCTGGCAGAGCTGGGGTAGTTCAGTCTGCAGAAGAGAAGACTCCTAGGAGAGCTTCCAGCAAACTTTCATTACCTAAAGGAGTTCCAAGAGATTTGAAGGGGAACTTTAGACACGGGTCTGGAGCAACAGAACAAAGGGGAATGGCTCCCAACTGAAATAGGACGAATTTAGATTAGATATTAGGAAGAATTATCTTTACCAAAAAAAAAAAAAAATTCTTTGCCTTCTTAGCAAAAGACAAACTTCACGACACAAATTGGTGTTATCAATTCAAGTAAATGGGTGCAATTTCCTGACTGGTTTTGTCTCTAACAACATGCTTTTCCACTTGATTAATATGTTGTAACTCAAATGAGACCATTCCACAAAATAATCACAGAAGGTTGAAAAATTATGCCAGATTTTCACCAACAAATTTAACACTGCTTATAATATCTCATGTTTTCTTACAAGATTCCTAACAGGAATAATAGCAACTATTCCTAGGAAGAATAAGTTTGCTATATTATATATGTTAGTATATGCTATGTCCATATATATATTATGTTATTATATATTACAGAATATTAGTTTATATTTGTAAATTATACCTGTATTGTAAATTTTGTTATTTTATAGACACTGGATGCTTTTCTCACAATATATCCTTATTATACTATCAAGAACTATAATATATATTGTAGGTTAGTATACATTAATATATGTATGTAATGTGTCAGTAGATTGACTTTTAGAAGTATTAAACTATTTTCTTTTGATTGTTTTGTTTGACATTTCCTGAAATTAATGCTATGCTAACTCTCTTTCACTGATTCAAAGCATGCTGGTTATATTCCTTACAGGATTGCTTGTTGATATTTTATAATTTTGAGGGATGTATTCTAGTGACAATATTTGACAAAATTAATACAAATTACTATAGAAAGTAAACACAAAGAGTTTCTTTTCTTCAGTATAATTATTTAAAACTCAGTTTAGATACAGTTCCATCTCTCTTTTTCCAGTTATCCAAGTAAGTATTATCCTTTATTCAGTTTCTTATGATTACAAATATTTGCTTAAATAATTTTGTCACAATTAGGCAATATTTTTAGAAGCAGAAACAAGCTATAAGGAAGCTCAGACTGAAATGCATGCTTTTAGCACTTCAATGTTTTGATACACAAAATTCTAACCACATTTCCCAAGCTTCCATGTGAAAAAAGAACATATTAACATTATTTAAATATATATTTCTTTTCCTGTTGCTTCACAGTCAGTGCCAGTGATCCTTGATATTTGAGATAAATGCAAAAAAACCCACCCCAAATAATTGGAGAGTACTTTCTGATGGTTTTTTTGTTGTTTTTTTTTCCCCTTCAGGACAGGTTCTCCAGGGAATGGTATCTACTGGAGATCCCTGGGGAGAGTGTAGGCAACGCTGCAGTGATCAGTACTTTAAAGATCACACTCTTTAAGAATCTTGTGACAAAAATAACATCAATCCAGCCCAATTCTCATACGTATTTCTACAATGGATGCAATATAATGACTACCAGGATTTCCAGCACACCTGCATAGAAGCCCTGCCTTACAGCAACTCCATCTGTCCCTAAAAGGTGAATAAATCAAGATCTTACCTTTTGTGAGACAAAGGCTTGCAGATTGGAAGATGAACAGTATTAAGAAACAGAACTAGAAACTTTCTTCTTACTGCTGCACCCCAGACAATATTTATAGACTGAAAACAAATGGATGGTTGGAAAGCAGACTGAAAATCCCAGCTGACACTGGCAAATCCTCATTGAACGAATGTGAGCATCCGTAGGAATGCACTGGAACTTGTGGAATGCAGAGCCAGTTTCCCTTCATTCCCAACCTCCCTAGTCCCAAGCCCTGAAACTCTTACCTTAGAGATTTCTGAGAAAGGACAAGACTCACAGATCCCAGGGTACTTTTATAGGATCTGATCTGCATATGCAGCCACCACCTCCTCTTTCTTAGGTCAAAACATTTCTGGCAATCTTAACTCCTAACAGAATTGCGATTCGTATTAGAAGTGAATGGATATAATTAGACATAACAGGTCTGTGAATCAATGTCCTATAAATAATTTGACAAGAAAGCACGAGAAGGGGGGGAAGTGGGAGGGTGTGCTAAAGGAGATGAAAGGGGCTTCATTGGTTCTGTAATCCATCAGATGCTGACTCGCACAGAAAAAGTGAGGAGTAAGAGCCAGTGTGTCTCGTAGGAAACATGTAGGGATGGAGAGAAGTCACAAGCTCCTGTCTGCTGCAAGAACTCAGAGTCCCCAGTGTCCTCAGGAAAAGCAGGAGGGGTCCTACTGAGAGGCAGGGATACTGCTGGAGGAAGAAAATTCCAGTGCAGGAGGAAGCATCTGAAAAGCAACTAAAGTTGCAGAAGTGAGAATCAGGAGATGATAAGAATGACCAAGGACTAGAATGGAGCAAAGCCAAAGCAAGTGAAGGGGGGGAAGAATAAGTCTGAATGTAGTAATAAGGGAGGATATGTGAATAAAGAAGAGGAAGTCCCTGGAGGTGTTTAAGAAAAGACTGGATGTGGCACTCAGTGCCATGGTTTAGTTGATAAGGTGGTGTTAGGTCAGGTTGGACTCAATGATCTCAAAGGTCTTTTCCAACCTAGTTGATTCTGTGATTCTGTGAAGTAAATAGAGATGTTATTCCAGTGGGCAAATCAAGTCACCATGGACAAAAGAAGCAATAAAAGAGCAGAACATGTTTAGCCTAAAGATAAAACCTTCAACGCCTGAGGGCATCCTGAGTTAAGTCCCAGATAAAAGGCACAGGAATCAAATTCTTGTTTTTGGAGCTGAAGGTTTTTAAAGATCATATGAACAGCACTATGGAAGTGTTGTACTGAACTCAGGACATTTGTCCCATTGGAATCAGGAGAGATGGCTGCTGTCCCAACACAGGGTAGTCACTCAGCATTACTTTTGCAAGATAAGTGTGCTAAGAAAGATTTAATAAATTTACATCCTCTAAACTAGAGTCACTCATACCCTGTGCTGCTCTGGAAGATAGGAAACTATTCTTAGAGAGATCTGAACCTCATGATAGTTTGTGTAAAAAGCCAATCTACTGTTCTCATCCCTGGGATTTTCCTTGCCCAGATTAAGGAGGAGACATGCTCTATGTTCACAAGGATCAGAGTGGTGAAGAGCTCAGTAGAACCATTCACTTTATTGAGAAGCAATTTCCTCCCCATGCAACAGATCTGGATTTGTTCAGGGTTTGGGGGGGTTTGGTTTTGCATTGTTTTTTTTTTTCAGTGTGGTGGTTTTGGCTTTGTTTGTGTTTTGGGGGTTCTTTTCTTTTCTTTTCTTTTCTTTTCTTTTCTTTTCTTTTCTTTTCTTTTCTTTTCTTTTCTTTTCTTTTCTTTTCTTTTCTTTTCTCTTTTCATGTATTAGTCTTCACTTTCCAAACTACAGTTCCTACCAAAAATAAGGAAATCTGAAGTGAGTCACATCTCAGCAGCTTCACCTGTCCCACAGAATATTGCCTCCCCAATTACTGTACCAGTTGTGCTCCTGCCTCTCTTAGCATCTCCTACTCAGAGGTCTGGATAAGAAAGTGAGGTAATTCCTTCCTCCTCTTCTCTCAGCTGTCTGCGTCTCTGTGATGGCATTGTAATCCTGGGTGTGGGAAGGAGATTGGCAGACATCAGTTTCATGTTTGGAGTAAATTGCTTGAATAGGCCTGGCTTTTGCAATAAACAGATTCCTGTTGCACGCGCCTGGAGGGTCCATATGGCTCTGCATAGTTACAGCTCAAGGCGTGGTGGAGGCTTCCCATCTCTCTTGTTGTGCCCAACCACATCTTGCTCCCACTATTCCCCTCCCTGCCTCCCACAGCTCCCCTCCCATGCCCTGCTTTTGCAGCAGAAGGAGCTGGATGTAGGTAAGCAGACACTTGGGGAAATACAAATGCATTAGCATTAGCAGAACAACGTTCTCCCTCTTGTGCTTTGTTGGCAGAGGCCCCCTTTGGTTACTGCAGCTCCTGAAGCTGGCTCCAGGAGCATTTCCACCTGTATTGTGGCATTGTGTTGTGGGGCCCCACCTCCAGCCAGGATCCGTCCACACAGGGGTTCTGGCACAGCAAAAAAAACCATGGGTGGAGGAGAAATGCTACGTGCTAGAAGAGCAGAAAAGAGCTTTTTGCTGCTCAGCTCAAGCGCAGTTCCCTCGTTCGCCCCGCCACCCTTTCTGAAATGCAGTGGGTACAAAAACAGAGATGTGTTAGCAGAGGTCTCTGATGAGCCCTTAGAAGAGCAGGGCACTTAGAAGCACACTGACACGTCCTGTGATGGGCCATGCAGCTGGGCTGTGTTTGACATCACCAGAGTCACAAGGAAGACAGGTCCTGCTCATACAGAATGTGCAGCAAGGGCCCAAAGAGTTCAGGGGAGCACCAAAAATCCCAGAGATGCTCAGCTGTGATGGATCCTAAACTATCATTTCTACAATGGATGGAGCAGTGTCCCCCCCCAGCTCCAGCTGTCATCTCCTGCTCAAATGTTATTTTCATATTTAATTAGGAATGTTTATAATATTAAAGCAGTGTTTTCACTGCACTAGTAGACTGGCTGAAGGATTGGAAAGGCTATCCAAGAGGGACATATGAAGGTCAGCTAGGGACTGACAGTTCTGGTGGGATGCCCAAAGATGCTTAGGACTTGCTTTAAATAAACAGCAAGTTTGAGAGAGCTGCTAAAGCTTGACACAAAATACCAACCATCTCAGTATCCTACTCTGTGTCTGGCAAAAACAAGTTTATCAGCAGCAGGAGAACCTATCCAGCTTTGCTTCTAATTTGCCAGGCCCTTAGACACATTGAATGTGTTCCCAAACCACCTAATTTACTTACCCATCTCTAAAGTGTGATCAGTATTTAGATATCTTTTCCAACCAGTGTGCTTTACTTTACATTTCCAATCAACATATAAATGCTGACTGTCTAGTTCAGCTTAATCCAAAATACAATATTGTGGGCTAACAATCAATTCTTAGGAAAATGAGCAAGCACAGTATGTTGAGAATGATAATAAACAGATAGAACAGTTAGATTGTGGACAGAGCAGAAGAATTGAATCTAGAAAGGCAGTGGAAAGTTTCGCTGAAATTATAAATAGAGTCCTCAATCTTAGCTATTCCTTCTTCCACAATTTTTTAAATGTGGATTCTTCTCACTCATCCTGCATGTGAATATGTGGGGGGATAGAATATAAGAAAATAAAGACAGCGCATAAAGTAATCTTACCGCTAAGGAGTTGCAGCTGGGCCAATTAACAAAGATTAGGAACAGGACTGACTTTAACAGGCCACAGCTGTAACCAATAAGAAGAGTGCTATAAAAGAGTGGGTTGGCTGGTTGAGAAGGAACTGGAGTCAGTTGGCTACTTGGTGAGGAATTGGAGTCAGTGCTCAGAGGAGCTGCCCATGAGAAAGCAGTATGGAACTTCTGCGATGTTACGACAACATGAATGGATGTAATTTTGTGCTATACACGAAATGGAATTACTTCAGAAAAAGGGAGTGGGCCACTCTTGATGCCACTTCCTCACCGTGTTGGTTTGGCTGCTTGTCACTACTTGGAATGAAATTTGAGTTTCCCATACTTTTAATCTTAATCAATATTTTTCAATTAATAAAAAATATATATATAGTTTTATATATATATATGTGTGTGTATGCTAAATGCTTCAGGACTCTTGACTCTTATTATTTTCTTTTTCCTAAGAAGAAGAAAATCACTTGAAAGAGTGTAATCCTAGTCCATCAAAGAAATGCATACTTATCATTGCAAGAGGAATAATAAATCCATATAATTATTACCATTCTTCATGCATTTTAAAAAATGCAAATGTAAAAATGCTTTGCTGTTTGATATACTTTTGAATGTGAAGATGAACTGTGTACATGTACTTTTAAAGTAATGAATACTAGAATAAATAAATAAATAAAACATCATAGTCACTGTTCATATGCAAGGGTCTCTACTGTTTTTATTACCTAGACATAAATGATAATTACTCAAGAAAGCAACACAGAGGTTTACATTTTATGCAACTCTCGGGTCACTTTTTAGTCTTGGGAGCCTCATTCCTCTTCTTCTATCTTCTTATGAATCTCACGGCTCTTGGCTCGGAGCTTGTTGACCTGTGACTCTGCAATGTCAGCCCGCTCCTCGGCTTCCTCCAGCTCGTGCTGGATCTTGCGGAACTTGGAGAGGTTCACATTGGACAGCTCCTCCTGTGAGAGCAGAGGGAGGTGGGAAAAAACCAGGCAGCAGGTGTTTATTACCAGAAAACTGGGCAAACAAAAATTCAAATGCCACAGCTGGGCATTTGCAGGTACAAAACCAAGATGAGAAGCTGCTCAGGGTGTTGTGTGTGTCAGAAGAGAAAAGAATACTGGGATGTCAAAAAGACATTATACACAGCATGTGCTAGGCAGAGTTTGTGTCATAGTCCTGAATATACAGACTGACAGCTACTTCTGACAAGGAGGGCAAGGTATAAGCTAAGAACTAGAGTGGGAAATGAGGCTTACAGCAAAACACAAAGGGTTGGGGAAGTATATTTCATCACAAACTCAGTAAGTCTTATTCTACATTCCCTGTTGTATCAAAATATCATCATGTTGCGCCAAAACAGACAAGGTTTCAAAAAGCTGTACACAGGAAAACATGAATACAGAATTTCACCTCCACCAGAAGAAGGTCTGGTTTGGAGAAACTGGTACTTACAGCTACATCTGTGATGGCCTTCTTGGCCTTCTCCTCAGCATTGCGGGCTTCCTGGATGGTATCCTCCATTTCACCCTGGATCTGGGCAATGTCCGTTTCCAGCTTCTTCTTGGTGTTGATCAGGCTGGTGTTCTATTGAAGAGCATGAATGTGATTTTTTTTTTAAAAAATAGCTCACAGTGTGATATCAAGTACAGCATAAGCGGTTTTTTAATATAGATTGTGCCTTCAGGTCACATTGGGTTCTAAGAGAACTACTCTTGTAGCTATTAATTTCTCAGGTCTGATGTGCTTTGGTATTTCATGAGCATCCGTTATGAATTTTTTTCTCAAAGACAACAAAGAAGGAATCTGGACTGAAAAATAAAAAAAATGCTTTCCTTAACGTTTTCACTCTAGTGATCATAAAACTTTGAGATGGTTCTATAACATACTTATATTGACATTGTTAAATTGCATTAATGACAGAGTTAGTGTGGTCCTATTTTGTTCATGGCATGGTCAGCCTACATTTGCCTTTAAAATCTCAAATGGAAATGTGAAAGGCGTTGAACTCAAATAACAGAATAAGAACCTCACAATCTTCTCTGCATTTATTAAGGTATCTATACTGCAGTCTACTGGAATTCATACTCTATCTACATCTGAAACAGAAGTCTTAATAATACCTATCACCTATTACTTCTTATTTACATCCCCCTGCATTTAACAAAATACTGATACAGCTCTGCCAGTCTTAAATTCACTTACACATATGGAGCAATAGTATAAATACTAACTATGTTTATTAACTGACCTGACTATGGAGGAGCTGAACTCTCTCACTTGCATCCAGGAGCTCCTGCTCAGCCACTTTCCTCGACCGCTCTGTCTGCTCCAGGGCTGCCCGGAGCTCCTCAACTTCAGCCTGCAGCAGGTTTGCTCTGCGCTCCACCATGGCCACCTGCTCCTTCAGGTCATCCTGTGCTCTGACAGCATCATCCAAGTGCAGCTGAGTGTCCTGGAAAGAGAGACACGACAGATTGGGAGGTGCGTGTTTTCTGGTTTTGAATTTCCTATTTTCCCGTCAACTTAGAACGGAAAGAGTTGTGACAGAGGAAAAACATTTATCTGTGTCAGAAATCAGCACATTGTGCCATACCTTGAGCACGGCCTGGGTGTTTCTCAGGTTCTTCTGTGCCTCTGCAGCCTGGCGATTGGCATGGCTCAGCTGGATCTCCATTTCATTCAGGTCTCCCTCCATCTTCTTCTTCAGCCTCAGGGCTTCATTCCTGCTCCTGATCTCAGCTTTGGCATTGACAGCCTCAACATGTTCCTCTGCATCCTGCAGGCGCTGGGCCAGCTTCTTCCTGGAAAGCAGTAATCGTAAGTAAGACTGTGGCATGAAGCAGCATGTTTTTCATAGGAGTAAACTTAGCCTCTTGGTACTGTGTGATCCACATTCACAGAGAGGTGTAAGAATTCTTCCAGACAGCCACTCTATTTCCATGTCTGAATTCTGGAGCAATCCTGCAGCATCTCCTTTACTGCTGGCCTCTCTCTGCTGTTCTGGACCTATTGGCTTTTCCTCCATGCGTCCCTGCCTTCTGCCATATTTTGTCTCTTTGTGACCCCACCCAAAGGAGAACACTGACTTCTTCCTGACAATGTCACAGCGGGCTGCTCAAATTTCCGTTCCTAATATGCCAGTGTTCTCCACATTTCCAACATACTTGGCCTCCTCGAGCTCCTCCGTGCGCTGAATCGCGTCCGTCTCGTATTTGGTTCTCCACTGAGCCACTTCACTGTTGGCCTTGGACAGGGCTCGCTGCAGCTCCCCCTTGGCCTCCTGCTCCTCCTCATATTGTTCCCGGAGCAAGTCACAGTCGTGGCGAGCAGACTGCAGGGCATGGGCCAGGGCATTCTTGGCCTTGGTGGGAAAAAAAAAAACAAAAAAATAAAACAGTGGGAAAATATGAAGGGAAATATCCTGGGAAATCACCTTAATGAGAAGATCTTAGAAAGACCTCTGATGGGAAAGATGTGTGAATTTGCAAAGAATTAATGGATAGACTGCAGGGAAAGAGAAGTAGTGCCTCTATGGGAAAACTTGTATTCCAATATCTAAGGGGTTATTTTTGTCCCTTTCATCTTGTTGATTTAATATATTTAGGAAAATGTCTTCTCACCTTTATCTCTTCCTCCAGGTGCCTCTTGAGTTCCTCAATCTGTTGGGTGAAAGCCTGTTTGCCTCTTGACAGCTGAGAAACCAAAGCATCCTTCTCTTCCACCTGACGTGAATATTCACCTGAGAAAATGTGCAGATACACAACAGTTTTAATGCCATTCATGGTGACACTGCAGACATTTGGAAATGTAAAACCAAATAGTTTTCGGTGCATGCCGAAATTTGTGATCCCATTTCAAGCATTTCACAGTAGATGTGACACAAAGTGTGTTGAAAAGACCACAGGTCCTGAAGTGTAATTTCTGCAATAGCTCCGAGACATTATTGATCTGCACATGTAGATGTGGGTGTCTCACCTGACTCTGTCTGCAGGCGAGCTCTTTGAGCATTGAGGTCATTGATCATGCGCTGATGTTCTTCTTCCTTGGACTTAATCTCACTCAGCTGATCTTCCAGAGTGCGGCACATCTTCTCCAGGTTGGCCTGTGTTTCAGCATGGAAAGGGATGAGTTAACCATCCACACTCTAAAGAAGGCTGGGAGCAAGGATTGTGTTGCATTCCACTGGGTCAATGAACTAATAAAATAATTGTGTACCTTGGCTTTGGAGACAGACTCCATGTTGCTGGCCAAGTCATCAATCTCCATCTTCAGCTCACTTTTCTCCTTCTCCAGCTTCTGCTTCACGCGTTGCAGGTTGTCGATCTGCTCGCCCAGCTCAGCTGTGCTGTCCGCGTGCTTCTTGCGCAGGGCGGCAGCCGTGGCTTCGTGCTGCAGCGTGGCCTCTTCCAGGTCACGGCGCATCTTCTGGAACTCTGCCTCACGCTTCTTGTTCATCTCAATCTGAGCAGCTGTGGCCCCTCCTGCTTCTTCCAGGCGCTCGCTGATCTCCTCCAGCTCCCTGGACAGGTCAGCGCGATGCTTCTCTGCTTTAGCGCGAGAGGTTCGCTCTGCCTCAATTTCCTCCTCCAGCTCCTCAATGCGGGCCTGCAGAACAGCAGGGACCCTTCACACCCGTGCCCTCCTCCTGCCTGAGCTGAGCCTGAGCAAGGCAGGGGAAGGAACAGACACTTGCCTGCAGCTCCTTGATTTTCTTCTGAAACTGCATGCCCAGGGCCTGTTCATCCTCGATCTTGCTCTGGATCTGGCTGATTTCAAAGTCTTTCCTTTGGACCAAGTGAATCATGTTAGAGCTCAAAGAAAAGAGACAAGTGCTGCAGCCCAGCACTCACGAACCCCAGAGTCACACTTACTTCTTGAGTTTCTCATCCAGCTGCTGCTTATCATTCTCCAAATCCATGATGCTGTCCTGGGCCAGCTTCAGGTCTCCTTCCAGTTTCCTCTTTGCTCTCTCCAGGTCCATGCGCAGTTTCTTCTCTTGCTCCAGGGACCCTTCCAGCTGAACACAACAAGACCATCAGGGCTCTGCCAGCCAGCTTGGACTCCATACCTGTCCTGTTCCTGCTCTATGGCTCTGTGCTTACATCATCCACTTGCTGTTCCAGCTTGGTCTTGGCTTTGGTCAGAGTATTGACTTTGTCTTCCTCTGCCTGCAGGTCATCCAGGGTCTGCTGATGGGCCTCTTGGAGGGCTTTCTTCTCTTTTGTCAGCTTGGCAATGGTCTCGTCCAGGGCTGCCATCTCCTCAGTCAGGTTTTTCACCTTTGAGAAGAAGGCAGCAAATGTAAATAAAGGAAGTAAATATAGAAGTCCTGTAGTAATGCACAGCCCATTTTCAGGAGTGCGAGTGACAGGTTCTATCTCATACCTTGTTTTCAGTGGCATGTTTTTCCTTCTCCACCTTGGCCAGTGTTAGCTCAAGGTCATCAATATCTTTCTTCAGCTCTGAACATTCATCCTCCAGCTTCCTCTTCTTGGCTGTCAGCTCAGCATTAATTTCTTCTTCATCCTCTGCCCTTTCAGTCCGCTCCTTAATTTTGGCTTCCAGCTGGATTTTGTTTTTGATGAGTTGGTCACACCTTTCCTCAGCATCAGCCAAAGCATCAGCTTCCTATTAGAGAAACATAGATTTGTTTGCTAATCACAACTGTTTGCAAAAGCTGAATAGAGAAATGGTATTTCTCACTGAGGAAAAGAAACATGGAATTATTAATTTTTCTTTTCTTCTAGGAATTTGTTTTTTGCACAGACTCTTTTAAATCAGAGTAGGTTTTTATTCTATTTCATTTTTTTGTTCTCATCAATTATTCCCTTCTATTTTTCTTATGGATAAGATGGTAATATTCAGTAGTACTTTTATTTTCAAGTGTTTTGATAACTTTCTCTGAAAGTTACGTACTGGATGTAAATGGGTAGAGATTTTTTCTTTATATTTTTATAAGCTTTTCTTGGCAAGACTGGCTTTGAATTAAATTTCTTTGAGTGATATAAGTTGATATATAGTCTAGGTGCAATCAGAAGTTTCAATTTGAACCTGGCTTTATTTTGAATCTGTGTGGCAAAAATCAAAAGACACAAGGTAATGTTCAAATATTGACCAATCCCATGATCTCCCAATGGACTTAGGCAGTACATACAGGGTTGTGACAGAATGCAGAGGGTTTTTATGTCCTCCTGGAAAAGTGGTTTTAGAAAGACAGGTGACATAACATGTATCATATAAAATGGTATGGAGGTCTTTGGGCAACTGACTGAAATCAGAGTAAGTTGTTGGATGAATTGCTCCACAGACTCTGCTAACTGTAAATTCTAAATCTCCAGTGACTACATTGGATGTTATATTGTGAGCCTGGAGAAACAGACCTATGTGCATACATGCTTCAAAAGTCATTCCTAAGCTAGAACCTCCTATGGTAATGGTGACACTGAGTGTTCTGAATTCTACCTTCCATTATAGATATTAAATATTTTCTCAGACAATTTATTGTGTAATATGAGAGTTATGTGCCGTGAGGGTACCTGGAAGAAATACACTAATTATACTTACAGATTGCACTTGGAGCTGCAGGTCATTTTTCTCCTGCATTAGAGAGGCCATTTTCTCCTCAAGCTCCTTCCGCTTTGCCTCAGACTTTGCAAGCTCTTCCTTGGTTTTCTCAAACTCTCCCTTCATGTTGGCCATCTCCTTCTCAGATTCTGCACTCTTCAGCAAGGGCTTGATCTTGAAGAACAGCTTCATCCATGGCCAGTGCTTGACATTCATGAATGAACGAACATTGTACTGGATGCAGAAGATGGATTCCCTGAGGCATAATTTAAAAGCACAATGAATATTCTCAGTGATAAGTGTCAACACTTCCCCCCAAGCAGAGTGACTCTTTAACGGAAGAAGAGGAAGGTGTACCTGCGCTCCACCATTCTCTGGTACTCCACCCTCATCAGGAAGCCCCTGCACCTGGCCTGGGTGCGGGTGATGAGCTGTGCCAGCTTCTCATCCCTCATCTCCTCCAGGAGGCCCAGCAGCCCAGCTTTGAAGAACACCTTGAGAGAGGCAATGTTGCAGCACATCACTGTCAGGTAGAGAGAGCAAAGCCCAGGCAGGCAGTGAAGGGGGGGGTTGGTACCTTGGTGTGTCCAAATTTGTACTGGGTGTGGTCCACATCGATTGACCCAAGGAGCTTCTCAGAAGCCTTCTTGCTATCGATGAACTGTCCCTCGGGGATGGCACTGGCATTAAGCACCTTGTATCTGGAATCAGAGGAAGATAAGGCCGTTTTTTTCCAAGCAACACACAGTAGCTACTACTAAACCCCATCAACTGTTTTTGAAAACAGAGCACAGGATGGACCCATGAATGAACCAACATTGCCATTAATGATGCTGACAAGAGCAGAGCTCTCACCTCTGTTTGAAGTCAGCATAGAGGACTCTGCTGGGGAACCCTTTCCTGCAGATCCTGATCCCTTCCAGCACGCCGTTACAGCGCAGCTGGTGCAGCACCAGCTCGTGCTCCATGGCACCTGGCAATGCAGAGCACAAATGAGTGGCACAGATTGCAGAGCAGAGGGGAATGGATGTATGAGAGCCAGGATCTTTCTGCTTGGGGTTCTTACCAGGTGTTTTAGTCTCATTGGGGATGATGCAGCGCACAAAGTGGGGGTGAGTGCTCCGCAGATTGGTCATCAGCTTGTTGAGATTCTCCTGTGGGATCATGCATAGTAGTTCAGATAAAAGAAATTTACTTTTGCCTACTTTGTACCTAGATGCCAAGGAACTAATATAATAAATCTTAGAAGCAGCTTTCAAATTCAATGTTTAGATTTAATGATACTTTCTATATACTTTTTATTGAAAAGTATTCTCTTTTTAAAAAAGTATAAAATTCTCCATCTTATTTGGAAGAAGAAAAACACTATTCTATAAATATTTTAACACAAGCCTTTTTGGGATAAATATTTATATTTATACTACATTACAGATTTTGAAAAATATTTTTCACAATAAATTGGAGTGAACTTTTGTAAGAAATTCAGAGATCCAAATGATGACTGAATCCTAAATTTGAACACAAAATCGTTATGAAATGCACTTCATATTTAGTATCTCTTCTTTAGAAAACCATTGCCAGAATACAAACCTGAGTGTATTTAACTCATTTTTGACATTTTGTTCATGTCACTTTATAGAAAATGAATCCATACTTTACCCGGAAAAGAGCTGAGACAGTCTGGAAAGAAGAACCCTTCTTCTTGCCTCCCTTCTTGCCACCACCACCACCACCACTAGCCTCTTAAAATTAAAAAAAAAAAAAAAAAAAAAAAAAAAAAAAAAAATTAAAAAAACCCAAAAATTTTTTTTTTTTTTTTAATGTTGCAGCACATCACTGTCAGGTAGAGAGAGCAAAGCCCAGGCAGGCAGTGAAGGGGGGGTTGGTACCTTGGTGTGTCCAAATTTGTACTGGGTGTGGTCCACATCGATTGACCCAAGGAGCTTCTCAGAAGCCTTCTTGCTATCGATGAACTGTCCCTCGGGGATGGCACTGGCATTAAGCACCTTGTATCTATGGAATTGGAGGAAATACGAGGAAGACAATGTCCAGTCATAAGAACGTTCTGTTTACTGAAACCAAGAGCAGTGTTTGCAGCAGAACCAGGCTGAGGAAGTTGGAATTTCATCCCTTGTTTAGAGACACCCTTCTGATGAAGTCTTAGCCTGGTAAGAAAATTTAAGGAAACTTTTCCAGTCTTTAGGGGACTAGCCATGATGAAGAAGATATTGATTTCCAGTGAGTTCAATCCATATCCTTTTCCTGAAACTATGCTGTAGAAAATTGTTGAGAGGAACATTGCCACTTTCCTATATCCTCTGTATTGGAGAAAAGCCTCTTCCTCTGAAACTTGCAGCTGATGCAATGGCCAAGGAACGCATGGTTTGTAATTTTTACCTGAGAACCTGCTGCTACTAATCCCACACTGCATTTATTAATCTTGTAATCACTGGCTTCTGCAGCTCTACTGTTCTTCCATGTTCAGATGCCCCTGCAGTCAGTGAGGACACATGACACTCTTCATTTCTCAATAATTTTTCTTTTCCTAGCCATATATGTTATTTTTGTTATGCACCTCAACATTTCTTTTTCTTCTAGTTATAGCCAGAAAGAGCTAGTGTTAAAAAATATATCCAAATGATAAAATAGTTGGCAGGAAAGACGTCAGGAAAGACAGAATGGAAATCAGAAAGGAAACTGACCTCTGTTTGAAATCAGCATAGAGGATTCTGCTGGGGAACCCTTTCCTGCAGATCCTGATCCCTTCCAGCACGCCGTTACAGCGCAGCTGGTGCAGCACCAGCTCGTGCTCCATGGCACCTAAGCAATAAGGCAATTATTTGATAATTCATGATAAAACATAGAGAATAATGGCTGCATCACACTGTCTTTTATTTCTGCTTGGGATTCTTACCAGGTGTTTTAGACTCATTGGGGATGATGCAGCGCACAAAGTGGGGGTGAGTGCTCCGCAGATTGGTCATCAGCTTGTTCAGATTCTCCTGTGGGATCATGAATGAAGGTTTTTAATTAACAAATAGTACCTCCTCAGTAACACTTTCAGATGTGAGAAAAGTCTTGTAAAATATTAACAGATTTGTAATTCCCAACTATAACCATTTTTAATATGAGTTTTCTTCTGTCTGTCACTCTTCAGCAGGAGAGAAAGTCACAAAACTTTGCAATGTGTTTTAACGAGACTGGGAAATATATCTATATCTTCCCCAGCTAGCCTCAGCTGACTTGCTGTCAGCTCATTTATGAATAAGCAAACACTTATTCTTGATACATAAAAATGTTAACAGCTGCAGTTAAATGGCCTTATCACAGCTAGAGTGAGGTTTTATGATCTCCAACCTAAAATAAACAAATAAATCAAGCCAGGAAAGAAGTGGAGAGAACGACTTTGGTACTCACCCTGAAAAGAGCTGAGACAGTCTGGAAAGAAGAACCCTTCTTCTTGCCTCCCTTCTTGCCACCACCACCACCACCACTAGCCTCTGAAGAATACCAAAAATAAAAGGCAAAAAAATATAGTTTTACAACTAGTAAAGATCAAGTTTTTCATATATAGCAGTTAAGTTAAGAATGGAACATGGAAAAGAAAAATATCTGATATTCGTGGCTCATGTAGAGCCAGAATAAACATGTTAAATAAACATGAAAATTTGAATTTCAGAGAACTGACCTGCCTCTCCACCAGCAGAGGCAAAGAGTAAAGCTAGTGTCTTCAGGGATGACTTCTGATACAACCCCACAAC